GGGGAATCTAGCAAGTATCGATAGATTATTGTGGTTTTAGCCGTTTGGCTGTAATTCGTGTTCAATTTAAGTAAGGGGAGGCGCCAAATGATTACATAATTTTGAGGGAGGCGTAGTAACATCAAGTTTGGAAACCACTAGTAAGTTTATAGTAATAATAACTAATTCATAGATATGAATTATAACTTTAAGTGAAGGCTTTAACAAATATCCTTACTTTCATATTTGTATTACATGAGTTCAATTGATAAATCGTCATTGTACGAACTATATAATTATATAACTATTGACGATCCCACGCTAATAACAAAACGTCTTACATAATAATATATTACTTCTAATTAGTGTGTGAATTTCAATTATTTCTCTAACATTATTCCGATACGGGGGTTGATGGGAATGGTCTTCAAATTGTAATTTAATCCTTACTTACATAACGAACGCTCGTGATTTAAATGTTTTTGCGTCTCCGCAAAGTGAACCGACCTAGTTACATTTTTCATTATTTTATTATTATTTTTTTACTTGCACTCTCTCGACACGTTCCCAATTTGTCACACATTAAATATCACTCCCCAGTTCGACTGAATGCAAATGCGCGCGGCAATTAATTTCAGTCGTCCGTGTGTCTGTTCCAACTCAATTTTAATGTGATTTATGAAAAGCACATGCAAATTTATGATCTTTGTGTCTGTGTATGTTTCTTTGCAATTAAATGAAGAAGATGGTAACAACGAAACGAAATGAAAAATAATTAAAAAAAAAAAAGCGCACGTGATAATACTTGGAACACGCATAAGCAATTGATTTATTCGTGCGGACGTAATGCATTTTATTCTCACCTGCTTTAAAAGATAATAACGAGAGTGGCAATAATAATAAAAAAAAAAATGAATATTTATGGTTTCAGGATGAAGATGGAAGGAGAGAGGTCGAAAATAAACTTCCGACGAAGTGATAATGCGGTGAGTCTATGCAAGTTTGTTGGTTATTTAGTTAGCTGATTAGAGTAGGTTTAAGCTAATAGTAGATTGTTGAAATAAGACAAGACTCACCGGTGATTAAAGTCTTCCTCCTGCTCATAAACGAAGCCCTGTCCATTTTCGTTTCCTTCGCCGCTTCCTTCTTTTTCTTGTTTGTCCTTTCCTTCTATCAGATTCGAACGACCCCTCAAGGATTCGCGACCATTACTTCTGGCATGGTTTTATTTTAAAGGATTTACTCGTTAAGGACACTTAGCTTTAAACTAGAGTAACAATATTTTATATATATTTCTAGTAGTATTTGTAGTAGATAAGGCCACGTTCGTGATATTGTTTTAATCTTAACAGCTAGACGAGACTTGACTAATAATTAATAATAATAATAATAACAATAATAGTAATGAGGATCTCTATTGTTTCTAAGTTTAGGAGAGGTAGTTTTTTCTTCGTCCACTTTTTGTTTTGTGTTTGTATTTTTTTTTTCTAATATTGAATTAGTCTAGGGGAGGTTTTCTGATGGGCGGTTGGATTATCTAGAATCGTTGGGGGCGGTTGCTGTTCGTGGTGGTGGCTTCGGGAGGGGTTCCCGGGGGCGGGCGATTGGCGTGTACAAAAGGCGAGCAGCAGCATGTGTGCCTGCCGATGTGGACGGTCCAGCCATGGACCAATCTGCAAGAAAACAGTAACGATGTTAAAATATGTACACACACAGATTAAAAAATGTATAGGATAAAGTTAATCCAATCGTAACATAATTGTAGCGGAATGGGTGTTCAAAAATTCGTCCAAAATCGATGGTTGGCGAAAATTCGCAGCTGCGCTTATTTAATTATTAACGAAAGGGTTGATACGGTCAACGGACGAAGACCATCAACATACATTTTTTACGTCCACTGTAATCACGAGAAAACCTTTTCTGGCCGCTCTTAGAGAATTATTACGCAATAATCCGTTTATTCTCACTCTCTCACTCGACGACTAGTTTACTTCTGAAAGCTTTCAACTTCTTCAATCTTTAAAAAAAAATCTCATCCATCATATGTACATCACCATTAATACTGCTTGTTGCATTATAGAATTATTCCAATTTAATTTATTTATATAATATTTTCTGCATAATAAAACTGTAAATTTTGATATGGTATATATTTGAAAGAAAATCCTAGATTATTTAGAATTTCGAAAGCAAGACTCATTATATTGGTATTGTTTACATTGATAACTAAATAACATAACATATTTGACAGTCGTTACTTTTGAGTTAAGTTGGAAATTGAAGAACAAAAATTAGTTTTTTTTTTAAGAAAAATATAATAGTAATTTCAAAATGGAAATTTTTAACCCAAAATAACGTGAGATGCCAAATCGAAGCAATTGACTAATGAAAGTCTAGTGAAAGTCATGGAAAAACAAAGAAAAATTAGAACACGGTTCTACTGATGGTTAAATTATTAAATTTAAGTCACAATTACTACCGATTTCAACGTTCTCGATTTGGGTTCTTTTTTACTCTATTTAATCACTACAAAATGAAACACAATTGATGAATTGATTGAATGTGTTCTAGATTTAATAAATTAGAGAAAAATACTTTTAATAACGTTTTTATAACATTACTAACGAGTACAGAATCAATTATGTTAACAGGAGGAAGAAATTCCAATAAATTTTATCATATAAATAAGGTAAAACTTCGTCGTGAGATTCGATAAACTGAAATGTATACAAAATGTATTTGTTCAGAAAAAAAACCTAAATCTCATTTTAACTAAATTTGGATTATACTAATTATTTGTATTTAATTATATTGTTTAGTTTTGTTTCTTTTTTTTCGGACAAAAAAATATTAAAATGTATATTTTCGGACAGAGAAAGTATTATTTAGTAATAATCTAATTGGAAATAATTGATTTCAGTAATTTTAAAAATTGCCAAGGCAACTTACATTTATTACTCAAAATTATTATGGTAACCATGGAAACATTATATAATAAGATTAAAATGCTATAACTACGAAATTCGATTCATTTATAATAATTTATAATTCGTTTTAAAATAATATTTCTATCCATCATTTCGGTTATTACGTTTGTGCAATTGGTCGAGACACACACACACAGGACCAAGCAATTTCGAAATTATCTATCGATTTATGCATTTCTAAGGAACAACACAAGAAAAACGAGCAGTCATTGTCTAAGGAAATATGTGTTGCGTAACAATGGGTAATAGCTTTTAGTGCATGCAATTACAATGATTAGAAGAACGCGAATCCACGCGCAAAAAAAAACACTTTTTTGCTTGACTTAAGTTAACGCTCATTCATCTTAAAGCCAACAATGAGTGTATGAGATTACGAATTATTTACTTATTGTTTTTTTTTAATCATCAACTTAACTTAATCTTAATCTTTTTTACAGGTCACAATTAAGAGTCTCATTAATGATATCATTAATATAATCATCTGATTGTTGTAATTGTTTATATTTTTTTTGTATTGGATTTTGAGAATTATCAATGATTGGATGCGTGTATCGTAACCATGGTCACAACCTTCGTGGCGTCGAAGTAAAAACACCTGCTTTGTCGTGTTCCTCGGAGCGATTTGCATATGCTGGAGTCGGTTTCGTAAACGGACTTAGCTGATGAGAGAGTTAAAGAGAGAGATAATCAATTCCTTCCTTCTTTCTCGCTGTACTGTTTCGAGCGAAAACAGAAACTAGGCCGCATGATGTAATTTTTTTTGCAATCAAATGTTAATAATAGCAGTAACGAGGATATTAAATGGTTCGACGACGAAATGTGAGTCAGGTTCAGTTCAAGAACGCCAATGAATATCAATCTAGACCAATTAATAATGTTTACTCAAAAGAAATAGTATTATTTAATACAAAGGACACCGAATTATTTGTTACTAAATGATACTATAACCTTCTACTTTATGATATTTCTGTAAGACTGTAGACTTTTTAGTAAAAATAGAAATATTATGTGTAGAGATAATACTGAATTAGTTTACTTAAATTACTGTTCTTATGGTAGATGTATATTCTTCAAGTATGAAGAACAACCTTGGAATTCTAATTCATATTATATAAATGATAAAGTCAAATAATCATTAAAAAAGTTAATATTTTCAGCACTTTTTATTTAAATGATGTTTGATTTAATGTCTAGACAAGATTTAATCTTAAGGTAAATCAAACATAATTAAAAATATACTAATAGAGTGTGATGATGTAAGTATATAGGTCCAAGTACTTTTCCTAGAGGAACTCCAGATATAATAGAAATTAGGGCAAATTATACACAAATTAATTTACAATGATCATCATTATCAACATTTTTCCTTTAATTGAATATTTTATGTTTCTTCCTTTTGAATTAATTCACTTTGTTTCTGTCGGTGGTTTTTTTTTTCGATAATAATTTGTGAAACGTACGCGATTTTCCAACTACTTTAAGTAGCGAGGATATATGGATTAATCATTAAGGACGTTAATACAATAACCCGCCGCCTCCGCCAGTTTATCCATCGAACATAACTTTGGTTTTTAAATATTTCATTCGCATTTTATGGATTACATCTTTTCTCGCTTCCTTTTTTTTTTCGATTCCATCACTTTTTCCTCTTCATTTGCTGTTGTTGTGCTCGTTTATGGATACGTGGACGAATGCGTTCGCATTGTATTCGTAAATGCACGTTCTACAAACTCAGCTTAGTGACCGACATCTGTTCTTCATTTATATTTATGGACGGGGGATAAATAGAAGGTAGCATAACTGGAATGGGACAAACGGACAGGTATCGGCGGGGTGTGAGAGAAGTTACATCTGTTTTTAACGGACGCGGGGTGGGTGGGTTTTGTAATGGCGGAGGTGGCTACCACGACGTCGGTGAATGCCGAGGTTACAACTTATTGATATCTGTGGGGCAGCGAGTGGGGTGGCGTTTGGACATGAGGCGAATCATTATTATATTTGTGATGCCAACCCATGCGGCTAGCTGTTTCTCTTTCCCCTTTTTTTTGGTTAATTAATAATATTCTCGGTGATCAATATAATTAAAACACCTGCACTTTTCTTGCGCGTGTCTCGAGAAATCTGAGAAACGTCCGTCGATATTTTAGCCACATTAATATTCACGTGTGAATGGAAATGTTCTCTTTTTCTCTCTCCATTTTCTTTTCCTTTTCGTTTCTATACCCATCACCCATCCGAAACTACAACCGAATTCCCACGAGCCTCCGTGCATTATTAACATGGATTATTCCAGTTTATTTTTTCACTATCTTATTGTCATTCCACCAAGGACATTAAACTTATTGCAAAATGTTATAATTTAAACATATTTCACATACGAAAAACGAGGGTATCGTAAAAAAATGTACTTCTATAATCATACATTTTCATAAACCCAATTCGTAATTGCTTTAGTTTTCTTCTTTTTTTTTTAGTTAAATAGATTAATTTTATTAATTTCCGAAGCCCTCAGCATTGTAAAATCATGCATTTTTTGTATAATTTCATGTATTTGATAATAATTTTAATTTTTATTGAAACAGTAAAATTACAAAATTAAAAAAAAACCTCAACTGCTTCAAAGGGCTATTGACCATAGGTCTTTCTGCCCTATATTTAATATTTATACATAGTTCTTAGTTACCTTGGTTACATGACCATATTTTTATAGATCCCAATAAGTTTATTTTTGTTAATTTCCATGGCACTCTTCATTGGAATTCTTTGCACTTATAACTTTTTTTTACGAAGCACCAATGAAATTACCTTACTTACACGATAAATCGTTTACTTGTTAAGTAGATATACGTTGTTGTAGCATTATTTATTTATTCTAATTTAAGTTTTTCTTTGTGAAAAACATTATTTGTATATTGATTTTTTCATGCTACAATTTAGTTTTTTCGTACATATTTATTAGAATGATATAAATTTAGAAAAATTGTCTACTTCGACTTATGTATAGAACTTGTAAATAGTTCATTTGCTGTTCCACTTCCCAAAATGAATGATCAATTGATGAACTACTTTTGTTATTAATAAAACTTTTTTTTAATTGTTAAATATTAATTGGTCTTTTCCAAATTGATATATTTTGATTACATGTCAGAAGAGTTAAAAAAAAATGAGTTTAATTATAAAATCATTAAAATTTAGATATTCAATATTAAAAGCTTGATTTTTAAATTGTCACTTAAAATTAGTTAAAAATTATATTATTAAATATTGGTTACATGACCATATTTTTATAGACCCCAATAGGTTTATTTTTGTTAATTTTTATGGCACTCTTCATTGATTTCAATTGGAATTCTTTGCACTTATAACTTTTTTTTACAAAGCACCAATGAAATTACCTTACTTACACGATAAATCGTTTACTTGTTAAGTAGATATACGTTGTTGTAGCATTATTTATTAATTCTAATTTAAGTTTTTCTTTGTGAAAAACATTATTTGTATATTGATTTTTTCATGCTACAATTTAGTTTTTTCGTACATATTTATTAGAATGATATAAATTTAGAAAAATTGTCTACTTTTTATGTATAGAACTTGTAAATAGTTCATTTGCTGTTCCACTTTCCAAAATGAACGATCAATTGATGAACTATTTTTGTTATTAATAAAACTTTTTTTTAATTGTT